AGTGAGTCAGCGGTCGGTTTACGAACTTACAACGCTAAAATCAGGGATATGATTCCCCTCAGAAAACACATTAGCTAGCCCAATGTGATAAAACAAGCAAACTCGTTTTGTTAAACTACTAGCTGGTAGATAAATCCTAAAACTCCAATTAATTCCGAAATTTAGCTTTAGAGTAAAAGAAAACACATACGAAACAACAGGTCTTAAAACTCAGAATACACTTTATCCGTTCAAATGTATAGGAACATTATCTATGTACATTACAACTATATCAAAATTTGGCAATTATAGCAGCTATCTCAACATACAAATTATCAGGCATCAGAGTTGTTTTGTTTTTATTTTTATACTTTGCACCATTTATGTAAACTTGAACTTTCACAATTTTTAGTTTTTATATTTTATTTACATTCTCAAAACGTAGTATTTACACTATCCAGACATTTGACACTTTTCATCGTGGAAATCAAACGGAAGTCACGTGTTCTTTCTTACTTTTCGTTTTCTTCGGTCTTTCAAACTCAATCAACTGTTTCTCTTGGGCCGAAATGAAATGATAACAAGGTGATGTCTGTTTTTTATGACCAGTCCTGAACCGCCTCCAGGCTTTCTTCCATATGTGCTGGGGCATCTTGCTTGACCAGATCCACAGTCCCGTTGTGATGCCTACAACAAGAGACATGAAAATCTTTAAAGTAAAGATCTCTACGTTTGGTCGTGACGTGGACTCCGAAGACATCCAACGATTTCGATAGGCGTATTCGTAAAAATTGGCCGCGAGAACGCACGTGGCTGGTACAGTGAAGAGAAGAGCAAATATTCCCACCCGGACCGTCAGAACCTCTAGTTTTTCATTCGTGTTCGAAATGTGTACTGACGGTTCCTGATGACTTCTGAAGTAAAACATGGCGGCTAGACCGAGTACGAGAAAGAAAACTCCAAGCAGTAGGTAGATCAAAGTCGGAACAATAACGAATCCCATCAGAGTCTTTTCACTCTGGTTACCCACGTAGCACGTGCCAGTTAATTCGTCCGCATCCACAACGCGCATTATCAGGATGGCAATGGTTTGAAATGATGGCAAGGCCCAAGCTGCCATGTGAAAATACGTGCCCCGTCGCATAATGGCCTCGTGGCTCCACTGTAGTCCCGCAGCTAGAAACCAAGTAAAAGTCAAAACAAGCCACCAGACGGCACTGGCCATGCTGGAAAAGTACAACAACGTGAAAACGATGGTACAGTTAATGTTATCCAGCCCTTCCTGGATGAGAATAGAAACCTCATGTTGACTGTCCACGTGACAGGATACTTCTGTCCGGCCAGCAATAAGCCGTATAAAGTATGCGATACTGTAGACGTTATAACTGGCACTTAAGAACAGTATGGCTCTCTCGGGATATCGGGATTTGTTGGTGTCGGCCAAGAAGGTTAAAACAGAGAATAAAGTAGATGCGAAACACCCACTAGCCCAAACAGTCACCCAGTTTTCTGCAAACTTCTTGTTGTCGGCGCTGAAAAGAACGTCAGCGGAGCATCTGTGGGCGCAACGACGAGTTCGGTTGATAAAGTAAAAAAACTGGGAATGTTTGTATTTCTCGCAAAATCCAAAATGATGGCTATTCGTGGGGATGGAGGGTCTGGGTGGTAACGTTACCCTCGTAACTACCTCGCTTCTTCGGTCGTATTTGTGGTAATAGCCACTTCGCTCGTATTCCTTAGGCTTAGGACCATCCATACACATATGGTGTTGGTTGTTTTGTCGAGGAAACTTTGAACAGTTGAGAGCCACCGGCCAATGGAACCCGAAGTTTTCCAACACCTTAAGACAACGTGATTTGACACTCTCACACAGCGGCCGACAAGGACCGATAGGCTGGGGCACTTTGTCCGTACACATCGGTACGTATACGGAGCACAAGAAGAAGGCCAATTGAGATGAACAGTTGTATTGGATAAGAGGGAAAAAGGTTTGGAGTTGCATTTCTGCTTCCTGCTGAAGTTCGTTTCCTACCAGGTTTGGCATCCCTGTAACATTGTAACCCAGACCACGGCAACGGTCAATGCGGATAGGTTCGCACGAACGAAGGGGCTCAGACGATTTCACTAAATGAAACGAATCCAGATACACTGCAAGCTGAAATAACCAAACTGACAGATGTAAGGACCAGAGGAGCATGGTGATTAGACTTCCACTGCTGGGCGCGAGCAAAACGCTCTGAACACACACACACACACAAAACGCTATTAATATTAGTAGGTTTTACCACATTCACCTGTATTTTAAGACAATGGTGATAATGTTCGAAAACAATCTTGAACTTTCAAATGTCTACAGAAACATAATTCTTCAATCTAATCTTCTGGATAATAACCTCCCTTTTGTACAACATCAAACTTCTTAACAAACTCGGTCCGTCTGCAGAAATATCTTAAGTTCACTCACCACGCGTATTCGTGTGACTCAAGCGTCTGCTACGTTCCCTTCTGCCTCGCGGAACTGAAGTGATTATCTGCAGCCAATCACGGGAGTTGGAACAGTTGTACTACTACGCCCTCTGATGTGCAAAAACCAGTTTCCTTGGTGAAGTTGAATAGGCTTTCATATTTCAGATAAGACGCGTTTTAACTGAAGTAGCTTATATTTTTACACCGTGTCTACACTTCTTTCAACATACTTTAGCATCACCCGTTTTTACGTTCTTGAATAGGGAAAAAGAACGATAAGATGCCAAAAAAATAAGATTATTTTAAAATGTTTTCATGTTGAATTTGAGATGATTAAAAACAACGACTAATATTCCAATCTTGTTTGTTTGTTTTGTAATTAAGCACAAAGCTACACAATGGGCTATCTGTTCTCTGCCCACCAAGGGTATCCAAACCCGGATTCTAGCGTTGTCAGTCCGCAGACATACCGCTGTGCTACTGGGGGGGGGCTATTCCAATCTTCTAAATTAATCTGGAAAACAAAATTAGGACGACTTACAACGCTAGAAACCGGGTTTCAATACCCGTGGTGGACAGAGCAAAGATTGCCCTTGTGTAGGTTTGTGCATAATTAAAACAAACAAACAGGTCCACAAACATGCCGCTATGCCACCGGGGGGGGGGGGGGCTTGATAAGAAAAACAAAGTTAAAACATGTTAATCTTACTATTTAGGATGTTGATCCAAAGTTTGATCTTGAATGAGGCATCCTACAATATCTAATATTAGGACTAAAAATAAAAAACGAATTTGTTTTTAGTTTTATATCAAAATATTATTAGAACTAATATCGTTAACTGGTGGTGTAATTTTTTTGTTTGTCTAACAGTCTATTACCGACCGAAAGTATTCTTTACTAATATACGTCTGATTTACAACGAGTTCTATTCTTTAAAGGTAAATGTTAAAATATTAGGGTTAAAAGATAACTTGTTAAATACGTAAACTTTATCAGTTACTCACGCCTCGTTTATTAACAATCTTCAAACTTCAATTTGTTCAGTAGTGTTGACATTTTGTGAGTTACAAGACAATAATTACATCGAAATATAAGCTGTAACACACACACATACACACACACATTCCGCTTTCGGATAATCAATGCACGTGTGACAGGTTTTAAGTAGGGGAATTTCTTGTTGCTGCCCATCTACAGCTAGGTAAACAGACGGGTCAACAATGTTATCTTTACTCTGTTATTACGCATCCCACTCCGTAATCATCAACTTTTCTCCAATCTCCAACTAGGATCTAGTCAGACCAGTTACATACTTCCAGTTTGACGTTCCTTTCCTTTTCTTATTTAGCTGGCTTTGAACTGTCAGTAAAAACTAGCTTGAGCTGCCATCTATCGTCCAAACTTAAAACAAGACTATGAAATAATTTTTCATCAGTTGAATTAATTAGAGGAGAACTAACACTTTCAATGTGGTATGACCAATAGCAACAAAATTTCAAGACTTAGTATGGTCTATGGTTAGGATATTCGATTCGTTATCTATGAGTCCGAGTTCGAATCCCGTCACCAAACATGCTCGCCCTTTTGGCAGTGGGGGTGTTATAGTATGACAGTCAATCCCACTATTCGTTGGTAAACGAGTAGCCCAAGAGTTGGCGGTGGGTGGTCTTGCCTATCTCTTCAAAATTAGGGAGAGTTAGCGCAGATAGCTCTCGAGTAGCTTTGCGCGAAATTAAATAAACAAAGATATGTTGGATAAGTTTGAGAGAGTTGCTTTTGTTGTTTACCCTTAGTAAATGAGAAATTAAAAGCAGTAGGAGTTACTAGCTATGTAATATAATGTACCCAGCAGGAGTTACTAGCTATGTAATATAATGTACCCAGCAGGAGTTACTAGCTATGTAATATAATGTACCCAGCAGGAGTTACTAGCTATGTAATATAATGTACCCAGCAGGAGTTACTAGCTATGTAATATAATGTACCCAGCAGCGTTACTAACTATGTAATATAATGTACCCAGCAGGAGTTACTAGCTATAATATGTCTTAGAATTATTTAAAGATAGCTTATTTGCAAATAATCACTTTTAAAAATTTCTTTATTCATTGCTTGTAATAGTTGTTGTTTTCTATGGATATTTATAAACGATATTACAACAATTATACCAATTTTGAACAAGATATTATTTACATGAATAAAAAAAAAGTATTGGGTTAACAGTGGAAGTCTGAAATACTAAATGTGCTCTGTTACGTAAATTACTATTGCATAACATATATCAGTTATGTATAAATGAACGTTTTTAAATCCTCCAAACCTCTTATTAAGGTTTTAAATAATTCAATGCAATTAAAGATTTTCTTGCATCCGAACTTTCCGCTTATATAAAGAGTTCGATACTGGCTGGAACTTTCTTATTCAAAATTGAAAACCAAAAAAAAACAGTATTGTTATAAACTATATTTTCATTGATTTAATGTAGATGTTTGCTAGAAGGCGTATAACGTTAAAATTAAATATATAGTTCATCCAAGTAGTCCTAGAATACTTAAAAAGTTCAAATAACGATGACGTAAAGAATCTAGTAACTTAGACTAATGTCTAGAAACAAGGATACGTTATAAATTCAGAATCAGTGAATCATTCAATGTGAGAGTTATCTTGTCTGTTCTGTTATTCAGTTACTTGGTAAGTTATTTGGTTGTTTATCTAATAAAACTAGTAAAGTTAGGACTACGTCTTACAGTGGAGTTGATATTGAAATGTTGTTTGTGTACTTATGCCTACTAAATTTGTCAAAGTGGGCGTAGACTGTAGAGGCATAATAAAAGAAGTAAATTAATTTGTCATTGTTACGAGGACGGGACGCTGCACTATAGAAGTGGTAGAACACGTTACAACAATACATTTAAAAGTAGTTTTTTATCTATAAATAATTTTCTGCTAACAAAAAAGAATGATTGTTGGTAAGTGATCTTAAACGCATTTTTACTGTTTTTATCCACAATTTAGAGCCATAATATGCGCTATCTAGTAAACAGTACAATACATATTTACGACTTTTTAACTGCCGCCTATATATAACTAAATGTTCTAATAAATTATCTGTAATACATTTTTACTGTTTTATGTTTTTATCCACAATTTAGTTTGCTTGTTTTGAACTTCGCGCAAATCGGCTAATCCTGGTCCCCCAGTTATTTCCACCTATAACTGCCTTCCTAAGATCTATAAACCGGCTAATACTGGTCCCCCAGTTATTTCCCCCTGTAACTGCCTTCCTAAGATCTATAAACCGGATAATCCTGGTCCCCAATTGGGGACCAGGATTAGCCGGTTTATAGATTTTAGGAAGGCAGTTACATGTGAAATAATTGAATTTCGACATGTAACTGCCTTCCTAAAATCTATAAACCGGCTAATCCTGGTCCCCCAGTTATTTCCCCCTGTAACTGCCTTCCTAAGATCTATAAACCGGATAATCCTGGTCCCCCAATTATTTCGACATGTAACTGCCTTCCTAAAATCTATAAACCGGCTAATCCTGGTCCCCCAATTATTTCGACATGTAACTGCCTTCCTAAAATCTATAAACCGGCTAATCCTGGTTCCCCAATTATTTCGACATGTAACTACCTTCCTAAAATCTATAAACCGGATAATCCTGGTCCCTCAGTTATTTCGACATGTAACTGCCTTCCTAAAATCTATAA